TATATCGTAATACTTTGCCTAAATGTTTAATAATTTGATACTGACGTTGTGCTGATGTGAGGTGCAGTTGTGAAGGCCTATCAGTACACATCTCTGACAAGTGTCATGCTGCTGGATTGTTGGACAATCCCTTGTGTTATGCTGCTAACCTGGCTTTTCCTGAAAACAAAATACAGATTCAGGAAGATAGCTGGTGTTGTTGTTTGTGTTGCTGGTCTTGTCATGGTCATTTTTTCTGATGTTCATGCTGGTGACCGAGCTGGTAACGACACGAACACCATTAAGTCCTCTCTCCCTCTCTCTCTCACCCCTTAGCCTGTAACAGGCCAAGCCCACCGCCACCAAATATTGTCCTCTTTGGGTTTTTTCTTTCGGAATTCCTCTTAAGGTTTTAAAACGCGTCTACTAGGGAGAAGTTTTCACACCCTTATAAAGAATGCTTCGTTCCCCTCTCCAACCAATGCGGGATCTCACAATCCACCTCTCTTGGGGGACCAGCGTCCTCGCTGACACACCATTCAGTGCCTGACTCTGATATCATTTGTAATAGCTCAAGCCCACTGCTAGCAGATGTTGTCCTCTTTGGGCTTTCCCTTGAGGTTTTAAAACGCGCCTACTAGGGAGAGGTTCCCACACCCTTATAAGGAACGCTTCGTTCCCCTCTCCAACTAATGTGGCGTCTCACAATCCACCTCTCTTGGGGAACTAGTGTCCTCGTTGACTCACCGTTCAGTGCCTGGCTATGATATCATTTGTAGCTCAAGCTCACCGATAGCAGATATTGTTCTCTTTGGGCTTTCCCTTCCAGGCTTCCCCTCAAGGATTTAAAACGTGTCTACTAGGGAGAGGTTTCCACACCCTTATAAATAACGCTTCATTCCCCTCTCCAACCAACCCCCAATTTGATTTTTATGACATTCTATTACATCCGTAGGCATTTTCGTGATGAACCTTGCAAAATGATGTTTCCTTGTACTTACATGCACCAATATGACCTGCAGGAGGAACCAGCCCACTTAAAGGGGATGCTCTTGTTATAGCTGCTGCTACCCTTTATGCTGTTACTAATGTCAGCGAGGTAAGGCCACATGTGTGCAGTAGCAGTTACTTTTTCCGTTACAGATAGACTCAAGCCATTTGATGATTGGTTTGTGATATACAATTATTAAACACTTAATAAATGTTTAACTTTCTACTGAAGGAATTTCTGGTGAAGAATGCTGATAGAGTTGAGCTAATGGCGATGTTGGGCACATGCGGTGCCATCGTCAGTGCAATTCAAATGTATCCTTAATTTTATATACGTCTCAATGTTCTATGGTATTTTTTTTATGCATATACATAAATTTTATATACGTCTCGATGTTTTTGGTTTTTTGATCTAAGAAATGTCTCGAAATCGAGCGGGCACTAAAGTGACATCTTTTAAAAGTTTATGTATCATGTTTCCCTTGATGATTTCCTTAGAGGCATAATTGAGCGCAATGAGTTAAAATCCATTCGATGGACAGCCGGAGCAGTAAGGCCTCTTCTCTTTCTCTCTTTAACTCGCACTGTCACACGGCATACCTTCCCTCCTTAGAAAAGTAGTACTTCATAAAGAGAATACCTTTCGGTTTGATAAAGATAAGATGTTTTCATTTGCAACATCAAGCCGAAATGAAAATCCTATGCCAAATGCAAAAATGGGGCGCAGCTAGGAATCCATCAACCTGACATGCTTCTGTTGTTGGTTTCGTCTGTCACTGGATCTTTTATGAAGCCAAGTCGTTTAATCCATATGACTTACTTTTACTTGCCAAAACTTTAGAGATGGGCTGCATAGATGGAGTTTTTAGTGTTAATTTGTGAGATCCCACATTGGAGAGAGTAACGAGTACCAGCAAGGACGCTGGGCCTTGAAGATGGATGGATTGTGAGATCTCACATCGGTTGGGGAGGAGAACGAATCAAAAGGGTGTGAAAACCTCTCTCTAGCAGTCGCATTTTAAAAACCTTGAGTGGAAGTCCATAAAAGAAAGCCCAAAGAGGACAATATCTACCAGCAGTGGGCTTGAGCGGTTACAAATGACAGCAGGTGTGCCAGTGGGGAGGTTGAGTCCTGAAGGGGGATGGACACGAGGCGATGTGCCAGCAAGGACGTTAGGCCCCAAGAGAGGGGGGGGGGGGGGGGG